CCCCCCCCCCCCCCCCCTCCGCCCTGTCACCTGCTTTCACATGTATTTTCGAACACAAGAGAGTTTCAGTTATGGTGGTGGATGTGACGATGGTGCTTGGCGTTGTTGCCTGGTGCAAGGGTGCGAGAATGCGGCAACAATCCGGCGGCGTGCACTCCGGCACTGTCCCACAAGGTGTGTGGCAGGCCTCTTTGTTGTTGCTTATTGCCGCCGTTCCTAAGCGGAATCGTCGCGCACAGATGACGCGAGAAGGGTGGGGACAAGGTCACGGAAACGAGCGCTGACGCAAGGGCCACTGCTGTGCTCTTTTAACCAGATTAGCTCGGTCACACAGCCGTGGTGGCTGAGTGGTTCAGTAGACGACCTCGCAAACTTGCGACGTTGGGACGTGGGTTCGAATCCCGGTGTAGTCACACGAAATGAGATATTTTCTCTCACAACACGCCAAATGCCGCGGAAGGCGATATGCAGTTTTGATATACGCCATAATTCGACCTTACGGTCGACGAGGGAAAAGAACGACTGAATCCTTCTGGCGATAGTAATCATGTAGTGATCAACGCAAAGGCCGCAGCAAGAAAGCGGAGGAAACAACTCCCCTGTGGCTGTCCTGCTCCTGTGTGGCCCCGGCTGGTGCGTCAATGTTCCGAAAGGTGGAAGACCGACGCCCAAAGTATATGGGAAAGGGACCGTCAAGAGAATATTCCAACGCTGGACCCCCCCCCGTTGCCCCACATTATCCCCGCTGCAGTGCCTCAACCTGAAACTTCCAAACCGTTCTTTGGTGTGTTTTAATGCATCACCCGCTTCCTAGAGCCGTGACCTTGACCAGCAGGGTGACCACCCCCGGTTAGTCGCAAATTGTTCCACACGGTCCAGTCTCGGTTGCTTCGTTTGGCTCAGATGTGGCATGCTCAACCTGCGTGGGCCCGTTGGTCCTGCTCAACTCCGGTCTGTTTCTGGTGGATCATATCCACTTCCAGTACAACGGCTTCCTTCTGGGACTGCTGCTCTTGTCCATGGGGCTGATCAGACAGGTGAGATCCTGTTAGCATGCGGCACCA